CTCTCGCCGACCATTCTTTTTATGAGTAGTAAGTAAACATTAAAATTTTATTTCAGAAAAATATCATATGTTGGTTCTCAGCCGCGAAGTCATTCAACTGTTATATTTCCTACCACCTTCAAAATCAACACAATCCATCAATCACTCGAATGAAACAAGCTTTTACGCGAAATGATGGGGAAATGATGATCACACAATCACTCGAAAGAAACAAGCTTTTACTCGAAATGATGGGGACTGTATTATGGGAGGAAAACGAATTGCCGTCGCGTACTCAAATAATAGACATGGCATATGGTTTAAATCTTATTTAAAAGTAGTATGTGTATTGATATCATAATAATTATGTGCAGAGTAATTAAACCGACTTCATATATGTTACGATTATGTAAGATTTTCATAATTATTCTACTGGAGATGAAAACCAACAGGACGACTTAATCATATGGCAAACCACAGTTTCTTGTGTGCTTTGCCAGTCCTGGTCGGGAATGGTAATAGCTGGTCAGTTAATAATCACGAATGTATGTGCTTGGTTGAAGCCGTGAATGACCAGAGGTCACTTTAGCCATTCTGCAACTTCGAGGAGTCCACCACTGGACCTACGCAGAATATAGCGAAACGACGGCACGATTCGCTTTTAAAGCATTCTAGAACTATGCACTAACCAGTGGTTCGGGACGCTTTTCAACAAATTCCTCCTTTTGGAACTCTTTTTTCCTTACTCACTACGCATGAAAATTCTATTTCTGTTACTGTTCAATCTTAAATGAATATTTAGCCAGTGCAATGCGGAGCTCGCAGTTTAGATTTTGCACAGTTTGAATACCTTACTTTTGAGGACGTCTCACGCAGTCGGAGAAAACTCAAAAGTGATCAAAACATCGCGAGTTTACTCACTTTAATCACAAATACTTGTTTTACAACAAAATGCTCCTGCGATTTTACCTATGCGGCGAGATTTCCTAAGGCAAATTTCCCGGACACGCAATCAAATATCTTTCAGTATTCGAGATTTGATTTGATTCGAAAAATGTATTCGATTCTAAAATCACAGGCATTCGAAAATGCCCAGCTTCCCAGCCTTAACGATAGAAGCGTACAGGGAAAGCAAGCACAAACCAACGTAATAAGTCGGAAAATTACCTTTTTTCAGTATCCTATCATGGTCAAAAAGTTTTATAGAAATGAAAGATTTGCACTTACCTTGGTGCCATATTGTTGCTACAATAAGAGAAAACAAAAACAATTTTCGCATTTTGCTGATTCAGGTTTGTCAAAACAAATTAGAAATTAAAAAAAGCTCTGAAATGATATATCTGTAATAGCAATAAAAATATTTTTCTTAGAAAAGCAAAGCTTAAATATATGGCATCGATACCGGATCCTCAGATTACCGAGTTCGCAGAAAAGAACAATACATGATAATAAAGGATTCACCTTAAAATTGAATAACATAACAGTTACACAAAATTGTAATAACAGTGGGAATATTAAAAAAAAGTGCGGGACTTATTTATATGAAGATCGCGAATCAATGCCGGTGTTTGTAAACACCGAGTTTGCTAAAGAGATCGCCGGACAAGAAATACAGAATAAAAAAAGTGTTCCATTTTATTTAAGTTAAAATGCATAAGCACTGAAAATCTGAAATTGATAATTCCTTTAGCGATTATTTTGTCGACAACAACAAAACAAGAATTTGACAAAACTATCTAAATGTACACTTCGTGGCTAAAATACGACTTTGTAATTAGAACTATAATTGGTAAAGCTAATGATTGGGTTTCTGCGAGACTTACTACTTATCCTTCTTCTATGCTTTTGTGCCGATGGATCCGATATGCATATAATGCAAGGATCTGTAGCAAGAGTAAAGATACCTATCTTAAGTGATTCAAGCTTATTTTAAAATTCCGGAAAATTATTTTTTATTGAAACATTGCTTATTATTTGATCTGTGTGGCCAATTGTGCAGGGCCTTTTTCGTAAATAAGCATCGTAAGGAAAAAAGTTTCCAGTTATTAAATTAATTACCAGCAATCGATAACTATTTTTCTTAATCTATTTACTTGAGTTTTAAAAAATGTTACTCAAATATTATTAATATTTTAAACCAATTTCAAACAAAAGCGTCTTTGTCTCTCGACACAGTTTTTTTACACTAATGATTTCTCGCAAACACTCAACGAGAACTTATCCTACGATTCTTAAATACGTAACGTCAAAAAAATTAAAAAATCACTTAAAAAAGTTTGATTATTGATTAAATATGGATAAATAAATTAATTAATAATACCTTTTAACTACGTTTGAGCCATTTTGTGGGTACTCCCGTAGACTGTGTACAAGATTAGGGTTAGGTCATAATATTATGTTGTTATTGTTATTTGTCTCATCATTTTTAAAAAATCGCTTTTCTCTTCGAATACTGGACCAATTGCTTTGAAATTTTCTGTGGGTAAGGATAAAATTTTCTCCAGAAGGCTATGACGTCATCAAAATTATTGCCATTGGGTGGCGCTACGTGTCCATATATTTGAGCATAGCTCTCTTGTTATTGTGTATCTTTGCTTTAAAAGTGGCGCAGCGTTGTTCTTAATTCATTTCCGTAGAATCAATAAGAAATTTATGGATTCTAAATTTTGAAGTCACTCTGTATATAGAATGTTCCGGATGTTTTTCTGAGATTCCTGAATTTGTATATTACAATCGATTCCATTACATTTGAACCCACGTACATTTGAACCCATGACAATTGCACCTGTATGCTACTGCACATATGGATTTTTTTTTGTTTCACTGATAGTTAAACCCATACTAACCCTAACCCATGGGTTTTAGCACCCGCATATAGATTGAACCCGTGGATATACGCATGGGTTCAAATGTACATGGGTTCAAATGTACGGTCACCATTACAATCAAATCCAATTTGAGAGATATTCTGAAAAAAAAAAAAAAATTAGAAATAAGTTTGATGATGCTCATCATTGACCAGGGGTGGCCAAGAGGTTTGGACCTGGGGCCAACTATTTTGCCCAATCTAGATTGGCAGACCATGTACGAGTGAAGTAAAAGTTACATTTTATGAACAATATTCACAGTGTTACATAGCAAAAGTAGAAAACAATATGCCGTGTGCCAAAACTAAATTTAACCGCAATCTCAACAAATTTCTTGAGCTATTTTTAGCTAAAACATCAAAATTTGATTTCAGTTTTGCTGTGGCAGCATCAGGCGAGACAGATGGAATTACCCTACGAGCTGGATTTGGCCGGCAGGCCATACTTTACCCGTGTCTAAATTTAACGCTCAACATACATATAAATCTAGTTCATCATACGTGACTTTCAAAACACTCGGTTTGGTACTCTCGAAGTATGTGAACCAAGATAGCGGACACCGGAACGTAGTATGTGTACCAGGTTAGGGTCAGGCCATAACTTTACTCCAATTTTCCTTGTTTAGTTCTATTGCGAGTTCGGGGACTAGCCAAGTGACTCCCGTAGTTTTTATACCTGAATTATGGCCAAACCCTAACCTGGTACACATACTACGTTCCGGTGTCCGCCACCTTGGTTCACTTACTTCGGGAGTACCATCAGTTTCAGAATCTTCTCTTTCACGCCTAGTTACCATAGGTACCATACGCGTTCAACTCAATTTGCAAGCACGCATTCATTTTCTTCCAGTTGTGCATATTATATTTGTATGTGCGTGCAGTAGTATTACTAATACTTTTACTCGTTTGGTATTATCGTAATGGATATGCAGGATGTTAAAAAAATAACACAAAATTAACAGAAGTTAAGATGGTATGCTACTTAAAACATTAAACGACTGGTACCTTTTAACAGTATCGAAATGTCATTTAAACACCCCCCCCCCCTCCCCAAAAAAAATATTATAATGCTATTTTGCAGCATTTGCAGTGAGACTTTAATTCTTAACGCTTTTTTAACACCATTCAACTCTATTCTTGAGCAATTTACCGGAAACTGGCTCATTACATTACTGTTTTGTTTCAACTATTCTTTGTAATATAACGGTATCCCTATTTAAAATGTATAGAACACAAATGGACCATTGTCCACCGCATTGTCATAGCAAAGCGAGGCAGTTTGGACGCGAATGTTTAAAAACGACGTGGAACGGTAAATGGACTTTATTGTTTATATAGATTGGAACTTTATTATCGTCGAATCGTATTTGTAGAGTGCGTGATTGTAAGTATCTAGAGACGATTGCGAAGGCGAACAATTTGTAATGGAAATTATATATTTGATTTCAAAGGGGTTTGAGTATGTTAAGAAATGATTACTGAAAAAACGATTTTTGGTAATCCCGTAGTATGTGAACTAAGATGGCGGACACCGGAACGTAGTGTGTGTACCAAGTTAGGGTTGGGGCAATATTTTATTTTTCCTATTTAGTTCTATTACGAATTCTGGGACTAGCCAAGTGACACCCGCAGTATTTGTTCATATACTTCATCTTTTGAAATTTTTCCCTAAGTCCCATTGCCCAACGCTTTTGTAATTTTATCTTAAAATGGAACACTTTTGTATTACTATGAGTAGAGTTTACGCGAAATTAACTTCCAATCCTTCCTCAATGCGTTTGCGCTAGTGAATCCGTATGCGTATAATGCAAGGATGCTGTAGCAGGAATACAATACAAAATACCATTCTATGCAATCTGTTGCACACTAACCCAAATGCATTTCTGTAACGTGTCATTGTTGTAACAGTTGTTGTAAACTGCTTGTCTAAGAAAGTCTGATTTTGGTCAGACGAAACATTACAAAAATACATTGGTTTTAGTGTGCAGCATGACTCTTGATTACTCTTGTATTATGCAGCGTTTTTAATTCAGCAAACTCAGTAATCTGAGGCACCTGTAATGATACCATTTATTCGAGCACTGCTGTCTTGTTTTTCTGAAAATTTGTTTCTATTGTTGTTACAGATATATTATTACCAAACTCTAATTTCTAATTTGTCTTGTCAAAACCAAATCAGCAAAATGCAAAGATTGTTTTTGTTTTCTCTTATTATAGCAGCGATAGTGCATCAAGGTAAGTTTAAATTTTTCCGTTTTATGAAACGTTCCATTGATAAATTAGGATAAAAGGAAAAGACCGAAAAAATTTATGCATGTTAAAGCTTGTTTGTGTTTCCTTCTTTTTTGTACGCTTCTTTCTTTGTAGTAGAAGAGTTCACGATCTCAGAGTTTGTCTAAAGGTACAATATACGTTAAAACTAGTAGGCCCAGTAAAAAAAATCAGTTGAACGTCTGAACTTTGGACTTCCTGCGAGGGGCGACCGGGCGCTCATATATCTTTGATGGCCCTGTCGCGAACGATTGCGACGTGCAGGCTTCTACCCTGCACCGTAGGAAGAGTGACGGCGAGATTCGCCCGCCGCGATCACCGCCTCCAGCACTGTCTTAACCAGTATGTTTCCCAGCTTTTTATTTTAGGAAGGTGTTTCCAAATTTAGAGGGTGGTAGATATTTTGGTATTAGTGATAAAATTATTTGTAACTTATATAAATGTGTTATGTATTTGACTGATCATCTTCATCGGCATATGAGCCACTTTCTGAACATTCAAATACAATTTTATTTACGTTATAAATTAAAGTATGGTGTCACACCTGAAAATTAGACGGAGTGTTTGAAATTTTAGGTGCGGTGTTCACCCCTTATACGGGTCACTGTCGTAACCCTCTGAAAAGCCATTTCAGTTCAAAGTATATCAGCGTTGATTTGTCAAAACATATAAATTGCCAGTCGGTCACATGACCGTCGAATAAGGATTTCGCGACCTAAAAAAGTCCGTTTCCGATCTATGCTGCGGGGAGGGGAAATTCCCTTGCTGTAGAAATATATGAAAGAATTTTATCAAAGTCCCACTCGTACACGCGGAGCCGAAAACTCTATAAAAAAACGGGGGATTTTACAAATAATTCGCTGTAGTTTTCTTTAAAAGAATCGTTTCTATAGATGCCGTGAACGACGCAAAACTTTTATCCCTCTCCTCATTGACGCGTCGCTTTTACAACTATTATTTCCACTGGTTAACGAACAAAGACGGTTCACACGCCAACGAAAACGTTGTAACGATACACGATACCCCGTACGTCTTTGTGAAAACCCCGTCGTCGAATAGCTTGTCATATTTGATTTTTTCAATAGCAGCCAAATTCGAGGGAAAAAGATAGACATCGGGAACCCCAAAATGTTTTCAAGTAATTTTGGGAATTCTGTAACAGCACCCATATAACTAATCTAGGATAGGGTTGCTGATAAATGTACCAATGCTTGCACTAAAGCTGTATAAAGATGCTCTGACACCACAATTGGTGCAAATTTGGGCGCTCCCGGAGTATGTGTACCAAGATGGCGCACAGCCCGAACCCGAACCGGGTACACATACTATGTTCAGGTTGTGCGCCATCTTGGTACACATACTTCGGGAGCTCCCGACTTTGCTATTCGATTACGATCGCCCTATATTTTATACTTTATTTTTAGGACTGGCGTTAACTTGTTATGATTGTATCAACTGCAACTCAGTTGATTCTTCTAACGAAAGCAACTGCACCGATATTACAGGGCAGACAACAATGTGCATCAAATCCGAAGGAACTATAGCGGGTAAGTATTTTTGAAAAAAGATATGATCAGGGTAAAGTATGAATCGTATTTTGATTGCGGATTCAAATATTTGCATATTGAAATAATGACATATCTTCCAAGTAATCGCGATTTGATTTCATTCAAAAAGATATTTGATTCGATTCTAAAATCGTCATATATTCGAACATTTCCAACACTTTTGTCTAATCCCGAGTTCCAACTACACCCCTTGTGAGCGTGGCGTTTTTCAACATTGAATGATTCAGTCAGAAATCATCCCGTCATCCCGTCGAAATTCTTCGAATCAAAACAAATTTATTCCGTCATTGGACTCCGAATCCGGTGATATTTAGATTTCGAGGCATTTACTCAACTCGAATTGGACTAGACTAAAATAATTGAAGTAACTTGGGAAATCTGCATGAAATGATTTGGATTCAACTAATTGCAAATTAGAGTGAGTTGGGTGACTGACTCGACATTTGACCCCCCGCCCACACCCCCCAAATTGTGAAAAAAGTTAATCACCGCCAGATGCTTATTCAATTTTTAGTTTTTCCAATTTTTTTTAAACAAAGTTGCGCAACAAGTCTCATGAACTACTTTGAATAGTTATGTTAATTTCTGCTTCGATATGCGACATTAGCAGTTTTGTGATACATAACCTCTGTCAGTTCTTTCCACCCGTTACCCTAACACACGTACTGTTGCTGTAAAGAATGATTGAATCCCTGGCAAACTCTTATGAATTGTCTCTCTTTATTTGATATTTATATTCACAGGCATCACTACAACATCCCGGGGTTGTGGATACGCAACGTCAGAAACATGCAGTTCATCCTCCTTTTTCGGGATTTCTGGAACCGTTTGCTACTGTGCCACAGGTTAAAACTAAGATCTGAAGCGCGAGCCTGAAATGTCAATCCTTACGTTCGGGTCGGGTTTCTCAATCGCTGACTTTTTTTAAAGAGGCGTTTTGGCCACGAGAGACCGTGGTCTGCAAAAAAACAGAAGTTGCCTCATCAACACGACACATACTGTACTAAATTTTTGTAATGACAATTCAAAGAACTTCTAAATAAGATATGAAATTTTCCGGTTTGCTTTGGGCTCAGTCTGCAAATCCAGTTAATCAGGCCTGGTCGGGTTTAATACCACGCGCTTGGGTCGGGCAGGGCTGCAATTTTTGAGCTCGATCTCATCTCTATCACAGGTACGTACAATGTTGGGGTCTTCCGAAGTACGCGCCCACAAATACTTCTAGTCGGCGTTGCATAATGATTTTTGGATATAATATTACTCACCTGACTACGTCTTTCAAAAGTTACGTCACTACAACGTGGCAATCGCGTCATAGAGCTTGCCAACGTATAGCTGAGTTCGTTCAAAATGGCACTTAGTCGAATCTTTGATAAATGCTAACTCAAGTCCAACTTTGTAGAAAAAATGGGTCTTATCTTTTCAACACTAGCAAAGACAAATATGCAGGTGGTCCCTAGAAAAGCGAAAAATTTGAAAGTCATATGAGATCAAGAATAAAATGCGTATAGGTTGTCTAGGTTGAATTGGTACGATATCTCACAAGCTAACCTACAAAACGCTACACGAGCTTGGGCTTCTAGGTTAAGGGTCACTGTTCTGAAGTCCACGGACGACATTTTGAGAATCTATGAGTGTAATATAACATATGCCTTTAAAAAAATTTGTAAAAGTTATTCTATGTAAAAATAAATAGCTGCTTGACAAATGTTCAGTTTTTCTAGCGACCACTCTGTATATTTGACTATACATTTGAGGGCGTACGGAAGTACGTGTACCAAGATGATGCACAACCTGAACACTAATCTGGTACACATATTATGATCAGATTATGTGCCATCTTTGTGCACACACTTCGGGGGCATCCATTTGAGATAGAAGGTAAATGTAATAATATAATAAAATGTAATGTATATAATAATTTGTGATTCACTTTGCTCGCAAATGCCCAAAGATACGTTAGCCAATAGGACTGGGCATTTCAAACTGAATCGTCGAATCGAATCGAAGAATAAGTTTGAATCGCCGCCATCTGGGTTTTGTGCTGTCCGTCAAAGGTTTATTCCGTGTTGAAACGATAATCAATCGCAACTTACTGCATGGAAAGAACCTTATTCTAACCTTTTTATAGCATAAACCTTGCATGGAAGGTATATTGTGACTCACGTTTATCCATAGGAAAGAAAAATCCATAATACGGTCAACCATATGGTGTATCAAGGTCTTTCGCCCGGTTACTTAGTCCACGTCGTGTATGGGACGACGAGTCACCACTTATTCAATTCCGATTTATAGACTTGCTAATGGGGAAGCAATATACGACATTTGGTTACGTAAACTGCCCATGCAACAGCTAGCAGCCCGACCACCCACTCGTTTACAATTATATCGATGGGAATTGAACCTGCGAACCCACGCCAGTTAATCAAGGGTGCAATCGAAATCGTGTATCCTAACGCTTAGCACAATGCGCCAGCGGCAGAGCCGTGAAATATTACTATATTTACTCGCCAAATTAATGATAATGTATTCATCACTTTGCCTTTCTAGCCAAAACCTCAATTTGATATGTAATTCCATTACTTTTTTTAGATCTCTGTAACGGGGCTGGAGTCGTTAGAATCAGCGTCATAATGGGAACTCTCATTGCTGTGATCTCGGCAAAATTACTGATGTAGACCTGAAGAAATAGTTTGATGAATTCAATTTTTATTAGTTATGAAATTATTGTGAGAAGTGTGTAGAGTATATCTTTCTGTATACTATTAGACAAATTTTTTTTTGAGCATTGTGCAGCCTGCGTCCCGCAGGGGGGGGGGGGGGTTACTTCTGATAGAAATGACTCGAACCCGAAATGTGTGTTCCCAACGTTTTTCGTTGAATTTCCCCTTCGTCATTTTGGAAGTCTTTATCCCTCCCTCACTACTACATTTAATATTCAACCTTCAATTGTCCCTTTGCCAGTTTTTTACGTAAGCGCACTACTGGTTTTGTTCAGTTTGATTAGTTCGTTATATTCGTGTTTGTGAATAAGTGTTGAAGTTATAGTAAAAAACTGAACAATATTAGTATCACAATAGCACACACAGCGCGAAAATCCCAACCTCCCAACAAACTACTGGATTCCCCCCATTCCTTCCCGCCAAGTATAGTTGAGCCTAACCCTGTAAGAAAATTTCGAATACTCAAACAAAAGCGGTCAGATCAGTAGCGTAATGAGACAAAATCTCGAATAAACATTTAGTGGTCTAGTCTAGTTGTTTTGAGTATTCGAATTAAAGAGAGAGTGAGATAAAGATTATTATTATTTTTGTCAAGCAAAATACAAATGAATATTGAAATGATAAATTAAACAGCCCTTATTTTGGTATAGGCTTAGAGAAGGCATAAGGACCAACAGAAAATGAACGACATAGAATGGTAAAATAAATTTATTGATTCACACACACAGCTATTAAAATAGGAAACAATTAAATATCTATATTCAATGTCACTATTGCGCCGCAGCGCCACCTTTGGAAACCGTTGTCTTAACCCAACGTTCCCCAACTGGGAAGAAATTCTTCCTCAGAGTGGAATTTGAAAGTTTTTTGGGATAAAATTTTACTTTGCAATTGCGTGTAGTATTACTAATAGTTTCACTTATTTTGTACTATTGCAATGAATATGGGTGGTATCAAATAACACAAATTTCGGTACTCCCGTATAGTATGTGAACCAATATGGCGGATACCGGAACGTAGTATGTGTACCAGGTTAGGGTTATGCCGTAATTTCAGGTACAACCCTAACCTGATACACATACTACGTTCCGATGTCCGCAATTTTGGTTCACATACTACAGGAGTACCCAAAATTTAATCTTCAAAACTTAAAAAAGTAACGAAAATATTTTCGTCTTTGCAACAAATCACGCAACAGATAGCGACTCCAATTAAACCAGGGTTGGGCACGGTTTTTGAATTAGGGGCTAAAAATTTAGCCTATCTAGACTCGCGGGCCATGTAAGTGTGACGTAAAATATTACATTTTATGAACAATATTCACAGTGTTACATAGCAAAAGTAGAAAAAAATATGCCGTGTGCCAAAACTAAATTTAACCGCAATCTCAACAAATTTCTTGAGCTATTTTTAGCTAAAACATCAAAATTTGATTTCAGTTTTGCTGTGGCAGCATCAGGCGAGACAGATGAAATTACCCTACGAGCTGGATTTGGCCGGCAGGCCATACTTCACCCGTGTCTAAATTTAACTCTCAACATACATAGAAATCTAGTTCATCATACGTGACTTTCAACACACTCGGTTTGGTACTCTCGAAGTATGTGAACCAAGATGGCGGACACTGAAAAGTAGTATGTGTACCAGGTTAGGGTCAGGCCATAACTTTATTCCAATGTTTTTTATTTTAGTTCTATTACGAGTTCGGGGACTAGCCAAGTGGCTCCCGCAGTATATATACCTGAAATTATGGCCTAACCCTAACCTGGTACACATATTACGTTCCGATGTCCGCCATCTTAGTTCACATACTACGGGAGTAGCAAAAATTTTCGTTATTTCAACAAATCACGTCACAGATAGTGACTCCAATTAAACTCTAAACATAGAAAGTTAAGTCATCATGCTTGACTTCCAACACTTTCAGTTTTAGAATCTTCTCTTTTACGCCTGGTTACCATAGTTATCATAAGCCTTCAACTCACTTTGCAATCACGCATTCATTTTCTTCGTGCGTGTCTTCCAGTTGTGCACATAATATTTGTATTTACGTTTAATATTAATAATATTTTACCTATTATCGTATATATTCCCACACAGAAAGTATTCAAAGCTAAAGTACAAGGTGTACAAATCATAGCCCCCCGACCCCCCCCCCCCCCCCCCCCCCGCCGGTTTTATCTAGTTTTGCTCGAAGCAAAAGGCACGAGTAATAACGTATTGCGTCATTATTAGGGCTGGGAATGGTTAACCGGTTAACCGATTTTAGATGGGTCAATATATTTAATAATTAGAGTTTACCGTTCTAATATAAGCAAGATAAATGAAGCCTTTAGTTATTTCAATATTGCGGAATAACGTGGTATTTTCGGTATCTTTTCTCTTGTTTGGTTTTGTAATGTCACATTGCCAACGCTTGAAAATAGAAGAGTGTTGCTACTAAAATATAGGTACAAAACGCCTCTCCAAATGAGGAGTTACTTGGCGCGAGATTGAGGCACGAAGTTTAGATGAAAAGCACGACTTATCTCATCGGCTTGGTCTTGAATGCGGTTCCATTACATTTGAACCCACGTACATTTGAACCCATGACAATTGCACCTGTATGCTATTGCACCTATGGAATTTTTTTTGTTTCACGGATAGTTAAACCCATACTAACCCTAACCCATGGGTTTTAGCACCCGCATATAGATTGAACCCGTGGATATACGCATGGGTTCAAATGTACGGTCACCCTTGAATGCACCTGATAATTCCTTCTTCGTGTACCGATTACCGGACGTCATTCCCATGTTGGCACCGTCTTGACATTAATAGATTAACATTGAAATTCCGTGCTTTACAAACATCATTTGCTACATCGGGATTGGGAAAAGGGTTATTCGCAGTCGAAATAGTTTAAAAATACCGCAAAAATGTTCTGCCAATAAATGCAAATATCTGTCAATGGTTTAGTTAGTTCACGCTGAAATTGTTCTGCGGGCGCAGTAATACCACATACCTTTTATGGATTGTTGATAAAAATCCCAGCAATTCTATTTAAAAATTCCCCGTGATCGATTGTAAAGACAACTGGTGTTTTGTGATTTTATTTCCAACGTGCCAAAGAGACGTGAGTGTTGCTTAATATGTGGGGTTGGTGATTTCGAGCCACTGTAGCAACGGTTTTAGTAGCAATCAATCACACACAACCAGCTGGTTTGTTTTGCGTGCTGTTATTGGACAAAATAAGTCATGTGATCTACGAATTAGATTTGGTATTTGAACCAAGGACCTCAAATTCCTAACATCAGGTGATAAAAATATTTTAGGACAATATAGAAGTTATGGAAGGAATATCTTCATTCTCAATCTAATCTAATGTATCCCAGTTTGGAATCCCTGTTATAACTAATCATCCAAGGTCGCGATGAAAGTGACATTCTTACATTCAAATAAAATATATGATAATAATACGAATTAATATATTGAGCGAAGGCATTTGAGATTGCAAAACTTCCCGAATACAGTCATGTTCCGTTTAAATATCGCGCTTAATTTTGCTATTTTGCACGGCGAAATAACACTACAACACCTGTTGTGCGGGATACGGTGACAAGCCGGATATAGGCTTTTATAAATTGAGCAAAATGACTCGAAAACAATAAAATTCGATTCTCTTCTAAACTTTTTGATTGTTTAATTACTAAATGCTGGTCATCTCCCAAGCATAAACGGAATTATGGTGATATACACGTTGCTATGACCTTCAGTATTTGATAGATGAATCATGTTCTGCTCTGCCATATTATAGTTGAATATAACACAACGAGTGTGTGAGTGTTGGTGTGACATAGCATAGTTATTTTGAGCGCTGCATAAGGGCTCTCGTAATTTGGCGGCATGAGTCCAAGTAGACGCTCATAACTGCCTCGGGTTATCCGAGCAATAAAGTGCTGTTAACTTTGATAGGCGTAGCTATTGATCTACGTCTGAATATTTTATGCGTCTCAGTAACTCTTACGCTAAACTTGGTAGCTGCTCTATTTATGGCGTCATTGATTGGTTTACACTCATAAAACCAATGTTTTGTGACTTGTGAGTATGATTTCCACGGATAGTAACAATGTTTTCGCGGTTACAGTAAGCCTAATAAGATCAGTAAATAAAAATATAAACGATTCAAATTTAGAAGATACGTGTAGAAATGCTTGGTATTTATAATGCCAGACTTACACTCGTAATCTGCTTAACGGCTGTGCCTTTTGTTCTTAGGGAATGATTGATCGATCAGCTGCAATAGGGTATACGAAGTGTCGAATAGCTCTTGTCGACTGGGACGCGGCTTAGGCTTTTCGGTGAACGGGTAAAAGGAAGTGCGTAATCGCACTGTGCACCAGTTGTCGAGCTGTAGAGTTGTGTAAACTGCGGGAATAAAATGGCTTGTGATGAAAGTAATAGAGGAAACCGCCGTATGGTGATCATACCCATCATGGTTTGTGGAGTAATGTTGTACGCAATGCCAAGAAGTACGAAAATGCTGTATGCTGCCATATCGGACTTCAAAATGGTGAATTTTATCTACGTTGGAGTTGGTTTATACGCTTATTTTTATATTAAAAATTATGGAAAACTGCCCTCTATTTTTTGCAAACGAGGGACAAAATTGGACACGATTATTCGGGACCGTATTCCTACCCTCAAAAGACGTTACATGCCGCTGTATTGGTTTGCCGAATCGAGATGTCAAACTATTCTGAGGACATTTTTACCGTGTTTATCCGGTTTCAAATACCGCAGAGAAGTCGTGGAAGAGCCGAATGGAGGACAGTTCTATTTAGACTGGTGTGACAATGACCATAACAACGTTATTTACCCAAATAGTAAGACGAGGCCAACTATTTTTATTTTGCCTGGTGTAACATCAACAAGTAAATCGACATATGTAAGGTCTATTGTATTTAGACTTGTACAAAATGGATATCGAGTGATGGTTATCGTTAATCGTGGACTTGATGGAATGGAAGTCAAGGTAAATATGGATTAAATTGATTTTAGACCTTGTGTTGATTTTGTCACAGTTTTTAAGTACGCCACGTTCGAGCAATTGAATACTGTATACATAAGGTGTAGGCAAAATAAGCAAATTTGCCGACGTTTGAAATTTCTATTGAAAAAAAAAAAAAATTCGCCAGAGCATGTATCGCAAACAAAGGTGTGCCTATATGTTTATAAATTTTACATCGATCGATCTTCGTAATATTACGTTTTTAATATGTGTTTTCTTGGCCTACGTCATATGCTACATTTTAGCAGTCTTAGCCTAACCAGAAGAGTAATTTTTCACATATCTGTAAATGTATCGATTATGGATGTATGTAACCACAACATTTTTATCAATATGGAAATATTGTAACGGTATCATCAGCACGTAGTTAATCCCCATGTTTTACAAGCTATAACTTTTCATCCTATAATTATCTAACATTGTAAACTTTATGCAGACACCGACTACCTACTGTGCAACACACACGTATGATATGGAAATAGCAATTCAAAGATTTCATCTGACCTTTCCGGAGGCGAAACTTTTTGCCTTGGGCTGCTCTTTAGGAACCCTTATGTTAGGAAAGCATTTAAGCCGAAAAGGTGATCGATGTGGATTAGATGCCGCCTTGTTTTTTTCTTGTCCATTCAACGCGCCTGTGTGTGCAGAAGAAGTTGAAATATGGACAAATAGGGTTTTGATTAACGAGCATGTTGCCAGAGAACAAAAAAGGATTTATCGAAGAAATAGCCAAGTCTTTGAAAACTTGGTTGATCACGAAAAAATCATGAACGCTAGGCATATGCGCGAGTTTGATCATCATTTTACAGCTCCATTGTTTGGATATACGAGCGCGGAAGAATACTACGCCGACTGTATTTTATGTGAAAGGAAACTGAAATCAGTTAAAGTACCTTTATTATGCGTAGGATCGAACGACGATATGTTTTCCCCAGAACACGGTAAGACATTCTTTATATTCCCAAATGATTTAGTCTCGCATTCGTGAGCCCAAAAAGCGTTAACGCGAACTGGCCACGGTTGATGTTCATGCATAAAAAAACTTTCTTCTTAAATACAATACAATCGTTATCCTTGAGAGTAGCAGAAGTTGGGGCGCTCCAGAAGTGTGTGTATCAATATGGAGGTAACTAATTTTGTTCGCCTACTTTACATCAAGTTGTGTAAATGAACTGAAACCTATGGGCAGAGGTTATATTCACTTGGGTAAAACAGACAGTCCCCGAACTTGTAATAGAACTAAAATACAGAAAATTGGAACAAAATTATGGTCTACCCGGTACACACACTACGCGAGTACCAAAGTTGGTACATGATTAAAAGAAGGTTTAACTCATAATGGGAAATCAAAAAGACAAGGATTCATTAACACAAAATGATTGTGGTCTATTTTGGTTCTCGATAACTAGCTATTCAGGTTATGGTGAAATCTGATCAAATATAATTGAGACACGTAACATCAAATTGATCTGAATTATATTAGTCCATATCTAAACTTTTAGTATATCCTCAGTATTGGTTTTGTGTCAACTTGTCAAGGTATACTAACATATGAGTTTCTCAAATAAAAATGAGTAAGAATAATAATGAGATAAGAAAAATAACAAGAAGATAAATAGAGATTGCTTTTGCTAATGACAGTTTCGTATATCAAGGATGAGGATTGAATGTATAATTTAATTTTTAAAATTAATTACCAAATTATCCATTTGGTACAGCACTGACCTATTCTGTTATTATATAATTCTGCTTAATTTAAATTTTGCATTTTATATTCCTTTAAGGTTTGCCTAAGGACGAAGTATGCAAAACCGATAATGTTGCACTTGTGATGACATACGGCGGAGGTCACGTGAGCCATCTTCAAGGTTTAAATCCATTTGCAGAAACGTACTTTGAACAAATTATGGTTGAATTTTTCGATGCTATGATGAATAATGAAGACAAGTCATAGAATAAATAGTAAGATGTCATCGAAATATAGATTCAAACCACTTAAAGTGATTGAAATGGCTACGTCTCCGCTGTACATAAATGGACAAATCTGGCCTAGCAAAACTGAATATACTCGTAGAAGACGTTGCAGAGAATATTCTGCGGTTCAGCATATTATTCAAACCTGCTGCCAATATTACAGACCAGCCTTCTATTAAGTAAGCCATTTATATGGTCATTGGGACTAAACACCCAGCCTTATTCCTACTCATGGGTTGACTACTCATATCTTCTTTACTAATTGGTATTGTAGATGGTTTGGTTGTAGTTTTCAGACGATTTATTCGAAGTAATATACTGCTTTGAACTCTTTATGTATATACATTTGACAGCAATCATATACTGTATTATATGTTTATCATAGATAATAAATGTTTTTGAATATAATACTACACATAGCCTTTGGAAAACAATGCAACTTTTTTTTATACACAATGCACTTAGATTAAAAAAAAAACATGTTGCGTATTTTGCACAATCATTTCACCTATGTTTTTGGTATTTATTATTCTTCATTTGAAACAATACATTTAGTGTACTTTAATTATGTAAACACCTCACGCCACTTACATGTTTCCACTTGATATGTATGGTAAAACGCTATCGGATATTTTGCTGTTTTAAAGGTCATGTGGAATCGTAATAATGAAACAAATTAAAATTTTTCGAGGGAGTTGAAATTTTCAGAGTTCTTCAGATCTATAATCAGGTTTTTAATATTGTTATCGATTCATAAATTATTTGTTGCTTTGCATTTTCAAATAAACGCAAGTACCCGAAAACTTTTATCTGCTAATCTATCAGAACATGATATAATATCAATGCATCTCTAGTTTGAGCATGTAAGATAGCCTTCATTTTTGGACTTTTTGCTTCTTCTGCCGTGTGTGTAAAATGCTTTATTTCCTAATCTTTTGCAGTATTTCTGAGATTTTGTATACGAAGAAAACAATTTCATACAAATTGAAACTCGACATTAATTTTGAAAGTAAACAAAGGTGGGCGTTATCAGTTAAAGGGATTATTAGAATGTAGATTAAATGTTGATTTGACATTTTTATTTGAAAATCAGATTGGCGATTAATAAACGCAATATTATTAAACGTTGATACTGTCATTGGTTAAGCACAAAAACTAATACAATAATCGGTACTCCCGTAGTGTGTGTACCAGGTTGGGGTTAGGGCATAATTTTATTCCGATTTTCCTTATTTTAGTCCTATTACGAGTTCGGGGATTGCCTGTGTTAGCCAAGTGAATATACCCCCTGCCTATAACTTGATGAAAAATAGGCAATAGGCGAAAAATTACACACACTTCTGGAGCGCCCAATATTCTACCATATGCACAAAATTTGAAAGATTGCGTAAATAAAATATATCGTGATTTATTCAGTTCGAAAATTTCATATGCGCTCACAATATTAAACGCGGCCGTTGATTTAGGAAGTCCGGAACATTTATTGTATTTCGAACCGGAATGAATTTGCATTTTTTCATCGACAGCATATAAATAAAACAGATCTGGGTATTGTGAAATCATTACGACTCCTATATCAGCAATGAAAACTTGTTTTAATGCAGAACGTCCTAACAATTTAAAACAATAAAATGAAGTCTGAGTTTTGATGTTAGATTAGTTTTGCCATTTGGAAACGCAGCAAATTTTCAGTCGAAGCACAATGAGGCTAAAATTAGTTTTTATTCACTTGGCAAGGAGAGCCACCAGCTGCGGTCAAAATTTTATCGAGTTCGAATTTAGAATGAGTCGCAGATTGAAATATCTCACAAGATGCCTAACTCCGCAGCACTGATCTCTGATTCCGAACCAATCTCTCCAATGACAACGCTGTATTTGTAATTGAAAAAAGTCATAATATAAAGTTTGTTTTACTGAGAGTAAGCGGTATTTGAGTATACTCAGCGCAAAGTTTCAAATGCTACTTTTCAGTCCAATTAGTAACCAATTAACACTAATATAATTACACCAAATCAGGCGTGCCTCATTGCCGGTCACAAATAAAGAATGTTAATGTTGTAGAAGCAAGGCCAGTATTTTGCATCTGGTCGCCTGTTGCGTGAGTTCAGTTTGTTTGAAGTGGTAAGCTGGAAAATGGCTTTTTGGGAACATACCAGCTTTTTTATAGCTTTGATAAATTTGGCGACGATTTGTTTTGTCATCGTATGGTACATTCATTCTTACGTTTCAAATTATGGAAAATTCCCTTTGGTATTTTGCAAGCAAGGAACAACTCTTGACATTATAATCAAAAATGAGATTCCCATTCTCAAACGACGTTACATGCCGTTATTTTGGTGCCCTGGTTCCAGATGCCAAATTATGCTGATGTCTTGCCTCAGACCTTTTTCAAAACTAAATTATCGGAGGGAGGTAATCACCGAACCAAATGGGGGGCAATTTTATCTAGACTGGATTGACAATGACAACAATGAAAGATTTCCGGATAGTACAATTAGGCCAACTGTTTTTGTTCTTCCTGGCCTAACTTCATGTAGTAATGTTTCGTACGTGAAATCTACAGTTAATAGATTGACTGAGGACGGCTATAGAGTAATGGTGATCGTATATCGTGGACTGGATGGAATGCAGCTAAAGGTACGATATTACTATTATGTATAAATATCAGGGATGGCACAATCCGTGCTGCCCCGATACTCGAGTCTTAATGTCCGCCAAAGAAGAACTTTCCCGAACCCCCCTGGCAGCGTTTATCCTTTATAGTGATATCATAAAGGGGTGGATACCATGTTAAAACTATGTTGTATTGGTACCATTGAAGGTTACTGATATTTCAAATATAAAAGGGTTGAACTCACCGACAAGCTTCACATTCCAGTGAAACTAACCATAATTCAACATTCGGTTATCCCATTCCCCCGCAACTACGTCAATCAGTGTTTAGCATGAATAAAATCGCCATTCCAGAACTGAATTGAGTTTCCAATATAAGCGAATCAATAACCCGAAATATCTTTTTGAAGTTGCGATTGCTTGGTCGAAATTCGTTTTCATCACAAGCATTGATTCTATCACTAAGGAAATTGTAATATTTTCAGACTCCGGAAACATATTGCGCAACAAAAACGAATGACATTCATCATGCAATTCAACATTTTCGACAGCATTATCCAAAATCCCAACTTTTTGCCGTCGGTATTTCAATGGGTGCTATATTGCTAGGAATTTATCTCAGTCAAAACTCGGAAAAGTGTGGTCTAGAAGCAGCCATGCTTTTCTCTTGTCCATTCAACGCACCATTGTCCGCAAAAGAAACGGAATTATGGAAAAACAGAATCATATTCAATCAATATGTTGCATGGCAACGAAAGAGGATTTATCGAAAACATTGCAAAGTTTTCCAGGATATCGTCGACCATAAAAAAATAATTCAAGCGACTGACTTGCGCGAATTTGATAAACATTTCACCGCTCCCTTGTTTGGCTACCGCAATGCAGAAGAATATTATCAAGATTGTTCATTGAACGAAACGAAATTAAAAGCAATTAAAATACCCTTGCTGTGTGTCGGATCAAATGATGACATGTATTCACCAGAACGCGGTAAGATTTTGATGTAATAATTTGTCAGCCTCAAATTGGAATAGTTACAGTACAACAATTGTTTGTGTGTAGTGATTTATTTCAAAAGTGTGGCATATGGGAAAATATGGCTATGTGCAATGCAACATTTGGATATTTTATGCATTCCTACATTTGTGAAAAAAACAGTTGAATTATATATGTTGTAAATTAAGGTGCACAACTCAAATGAGGAAGTGTGCCAAAGTTTTCAAAATAATGTCGTAGCGTTCCACGCCACGTTTGAATAATTGTTGGTATTTTACGAATATGAGTCAATGAAGACAGTCGGGATAGCTACAAATGTAGGATCATGTAGTAAAATCGGAAAATGTAAAGTTGCAAAATCACAGCTAAGGGGTCGTTGTCGTTTTGAAGTCACAAAAATATGGTAACCCTACACATTAACCGCGTCTACCCTGTGTTGTGCACAATATTACACTAAGTAGATTGTGTTTTAAAATGCCTGTGCAGTGCACTGCACAATTTTATCGCCGTTGTTGCTATTACCACTAAACCTACAACCATTAAATTAGACTGTATCACAATAATGTCTATAGCTAATGTAACGTATTGTAACTAATATACATATATATATATGTGCTTTTTCAGGTTTACCGAAGAAAGAAGTGTGCAGAACTGATTACGTTGCGCTTGTAATGACTCGCGGAGGAGGACACGTGTGTCACCTCCAAGGATTCAATCCATATTCAAAAACCTACTTTGAACAGATAATGACAGAATATTTATTTGCAATGGTAAATAATTCTCAGTCCCATATCTACATCACCCACACAAAATAGTGTTTAGTTGTACAATTTTTGGTTGCTCAGATTTTTTTGAAGCTCCAACCGTGTATATATATATAAATGGCTGTGCGTAACTAACACGATATATTTGCAAGTGTATGAAAGAAATCTCGCTGTTCCTTCCTTTGTAAAAATATTGTTTGCATTCAATAACAGTAAGGGAATTGTAATGAGTGTTTTCATACATGTTGAGGAGCAACTTCGACGGTGCGCGGATTTACAGGGAAGCTTTCTGACAACCGGAAAGTGACGCATCATCCGACTTCTTTCGACGACTGACCTGGGAGGCTGTGACACCTCTTGATTGATCCGCTAAAGTAATTAGTTTTAGCAAGCGTGGCATAGGGAGATTAGGCTTCCTTGTCTAACGGTCTAACGGCATTTGAGTACCGGAGAGAGATTGTGGAAGACTCGGAAAGAGGACAATTTTATCTTGATTGGTGCGATAATGGAGAAAATATTTTATTTCCAGACTATTTTACGCGACCAACTGTGTTCATTCTACCTGGAGTGACATCAACAAGTAAATCTTCGTATGTAAAAGTGGATACAGGGTGATTGTCAGGGGCGGGTTATGCCCCTTTGGTGCCCTAAGCACTGAAGACTTAGGTGCCCCCCTATGTGTAATTTAATTATAAAAACAATAAACCACATAAGTGTATAAATAATCACAACCAACAGTAAATAAAACAACTTTTACGAACATTTTTAGGTTTTTTAACTGCTATGTATAGCCGATATATATATATAGGTCGTTTACTGCCGATATGATATATCGGCAAACGCGCAATATCGGCTGAGCTCTAATCCTGAGGAAGTGTGACAATAAAGATTCACGCCTCCAGTCTCAACGTGAATCGAAATAAATACTGAAGGATACAAGTCACAACTGTAGTTTGAAATTTTACCGGTATCTAGTAGTCTACATCAGGGTGGTTCAATGTTGCTAGGTTAAAGGACGGCAAAAACTTTTAAGGAGGTCTCGCGAGCCGCAAGACGGAGAAAACCCAAAAGTGATCGAAATATCGCGAGTTTACTCAGTTTAAATTTAATAAACAACGAGAGTTTACCGTTCTAATCAGACTATTATTATGTTGTATAGGTGGCGTTTTTTTTAAAAAGAAGATATAGAAAGCCTTCAGTTATTTTAAAATTAATTCCCGAGAATTACCGTTGTATTTTCCGCATCTATCATTTCCGTTTGATGTCGCTTCAAATTATATTCTTTCGTGACAGATGTTGCTTGAAATCAAACCAGACACTGTGTGATGGACAAGGAAATACGTTTCCGCCGTATTTTCCTTAGGTTACTTTTCTTGTGACACTCATTTTATTACGAATTGTTATATTTGAGTAATTGCAGCGTGAGCAAGCTTAGTGCCATGTCAAATAACAACGTTGTTAGTTGGTATTTCCGGACCTAGCTAAAAAAAACTGGATTGCGCGGCGTTAAGTCGGCTCTGCATTTCGTCACTACTGTCACATGGCCCACGCTTGGAAACAGAGGAGTGTTTTTACTAAAATAAAGGCACAAAGCGTTAGAAAAAAAGTTTTGAATCTTGAGATCCCACCCCCAGTTGAAATAGCTAAAAAAAACACATAAACGTTACGCTATTAGATACAAATATACGCTAAAATTATTCTGTGGGTCGCACGGAATGTATCAGCTTGACAGGGTTTGGACCACCCTGGTCTACCTTATCAAAACACTCCCGACTTCGCTGACCAGTAGATCGTTGAAATGCGATCGTGGACCCGCAACATAATGGAAATAGTTCATTGGTCCAATTGTTGAAGAGAAAAGATTTTTTTCAAAACAAAAATGCAGCAACAAGGAGAATACTAGGAGGAAAAAACAACAACAATTTAAGAAAACGACTCATAGGCCCATTCTGTGTCCAATAAATAAGTTTCAATGTTTATTTATAATAAATAAGGTTGATATGATACTTGACGAAGAAAAATAAGCGAACATTTTGAAGTTTTAGTCGTCTGGTGAACACTTAATATTTTGATAAACACCGATAAACTATATCAAATTCAGCTCTAAATTTCTGTGGTGCCCCTTTTTGCTTGGTGCCCTAAGCACGTGCCTATATTGTTTAATGGTTAATCCGGCGCTGGTGATTGTCATAGTTAATCGCGGACGTGACGGAATGACCATAAAGGTGAATGATATCATGATCAATATCTTCATGGACAGTTTGCTTTAGTTTTGATTGATTATTCTTAGAATGTATTCGCTATATACACGAGATATTATTAACGGAACAAGTTTTAGCATAAATCTTTGGGAATACATATATATATTGTATTGTGCAGGCCCTAAAAATCGAAACCAATTTGTCATATGGCAACCGAATTGGCCTATACGGAAAAAGCCATGCAATAGCGATAAGAGTCGCGATTATTGCATACATTTTATACTCATGCATATACCGGAATTTTGTCTAAATCTGTTTTTATTATTTTTAGTTTTGGCCAAAAAAGAAAACAGTACCACCGAAAATATTGCACTTGTGGTGATTCGACGTATCTTGGTGATCTCCGACGTACAAACCCAAATTGCGTTGTTTGCCTGATTGAATATCACTGAACATAATATGGATACTCGAAGCAGTACACTCACAGTAATAACGTGAAGATTCTCTGTGTTTGGACTCTTGATAATTGCCAGAAGAATATATTAGTGTTGAACAATGGACGGACGTCAATTCTAAAGTAAAATTCAGTTGAAAACCGTAATGCACTTAGCCAATTATTTTGCACTGAGAAAATGGGCCATATCACAATATTAAATTATACTTAAGACCCGAAATTCATTTAAGTATAAGGGTGTAATTATGTGGAATGCTCTCCCTGGTGAAATACGAAGCATGTCTTATCAACTTTTTGAATCAAATATTGAAAAAAAAAATTTTGTCGACTTACCTCGATTATTTGTGTAACAATTTGACTATGGGTGTTTGTCGTGGCTGTATTCATACCACCAAAACACGGAAATTCTCAGTACCGTCCATAACATGCACCACGATGAAGCGCTCGTTAATAGAGCCGCCTTTTCAGCGTATAATGAATTTTCTGTCGCGTTAAGTATTCAATACATGACAACTACGAGATTCTAAAATGTCCTCGTTTATTAATTCAATTGTGTCCAACGTAACTCGCGGTTGCGATTTCTAACGTCAAAATAAAAATATTAATGCAGTAAAATACCACGGCGATCTGTGGAGATAATAATATGAGATAAGCTGCCTGATGTATTTAAATTCGATACGTATTTTGCAATCTTGCGAATTTGTTTTGCCGTTATTAAAATCTCGATATATGATATAAAATCCCGTTCAGTACAATTTTACTTTATGCAATGAAAATACATATATAAAGTATACCATGATTTTTGTCTTGTGCAAAGTAATCAATCCATGATCGATACGGGCATATTTAAAATGTCCTGCTTTATTAATTTAATTGTCTTCAATTTAACCTGTATTTGCGTCGACAGAACGAGAGCCACTCTAAAATATCACTGCAATCCGTTGACATAAAAATGTGCGATAAAATGCACGATTACATATTATTGTTTTGATACGTATTTTTGCTATTTTACGAATTCGACAAATTTGAGATGTACTTTTAACGCTGACTCCGTTCAATCGCAATGCTGCCTCTCCGATTATTTTTAATTAAAGATAAAACCTATCGAAAATCCGTAAATCTGCTGTAAATTCTCATGGAGTAAAATTTATTTCAGTACAATGAAAACTGAATTGATATACTTCAGATTAATTATCTTATATATCATCACAATCCGGAAAAAAGTCGCGATTCCTTCCATGTTTAATGATAACACGATTTTCGACGACAATTTTAAAGTAATGGATAAAAAGGCAAATTCCGCCCACAATCAACCGTGTAAAAAAACACCCGGCAGGAATTATATTGTTCGGCCATTACATTAATATTTAGTTATCAGGCATAATAGATTCTTCAATCGATTTTTATGTTTCTATGAAGCCTATTTTGTTAGCATATATTCCCGGCCAAAAAATAGAAAGCCAGTTTACAACTTAGACTAGCGAAGCACATGATTCAACTTCGCTAGTGGCCTCCGCTAGCCATAACACTATTTAATTCAGTGACATTGGTGATGTAACAATATGGGTATTTTTATGACGAAACAACACCAAATGCAACTTTTCGTTTACTCTCGCGCAAATGCGGCGCGGGCCACAGATAATGGAGCAGTGGGCCACATGTGGCCCGCGGGCCTGGGTTTGGACCACCCTGGCCTAGACTGTCGCGGGACTCAACAAAACTTATAATGTTTACGATTTTATTTTCAATATTTTATATTTCCACTTTAAAATCAAAAAATTTAGATCGCGGATTTACTCCTTAATTTGTCGCCGCCGCCGAAACTCGCCGCCGATGAACGTTTAATAACTCTCACCGAATTCACAATTCCGTGCAAGTATAAAAATAAAATAATTATCATCGTTATCGTTGCCCAAATTTGTGATTTAGAGAGAATAAACACCAATGTAAATGCGTGTATGGCCATAAATAACACGCTGATGAAAACAATCCGCGATATTAGGCATTTGCATGCGTTATCAGCGACTTATTCAGTTTTCAAAAAAATTCAAAGGGGGGGAAGTGGTTCGACCCCGACAAATTCATACCGTCATCTGAAAAATTAATATAAAAGGTTATCGCACCATCCTGCTGACCTAGTAATATTGCATAGGCTACGTGTGGTAATTGATATATTATGTAATTACTTATCGATCTTAAGATCGGTAAGTATATTGATAGGTATTTGTCTGTCTGTCTGTCTGTGTGTCTGTTAGATGCACGCGATATCTCACGAAAGCGAGATTGAATCTGCTCCAGATTTCGCATGTGCATTCATCTTATCTCGGACCAGCAGCCTATTGATTTTGGGCGAATTATTTCGTATAATTAGCGAGTTATCAATCAATTATTGATATAGTGATCTAGATTTTTGTAAAGCGAGAGAATTTTGAAACCCGCCGAGTGTGTGTGTGCGATGCGCAGTGCGCAAGTTACAAGAGCGGATGAATCGAAACTGCAGTTTTTGTTTTGGGGGATCCCCTAACTATCGATCGATAAGTCTTCGGTTTCCAACCGATATTCTCGTTGTTATATCACTGTTTCACTAATTTTTCTGAATTTTCATATTATTACTTATCGATTTTAATTGGTAAGTATGTTGATAGGTATTTGTCTGTTTGTCTGTCTGTCTGTTAGATGCACGCGATATCTCACGAAAGCGAGATTGAATCTGCTCCAGATTTTGCATGTGCATTCATCATATGTCGGACCAGAAGCCTATTGATTTTGGATGAATTATGTCGTATAATTAGCGAGTTATTAATTAATTAGTAATTGGACACAAGGTGTCACTATGGAGTAAGAGCGCTGTTTTGGGATCCTCTAACTTTCGATCGATAAGTCTTCGGTCTCTGACCGATATTCTCGTCTTTGTTTTGTGGCTGTGTTCACACAACCAAAAAGATGAATTAAAAATCCTTATGACTTAGTAAACATTGAATACTTGTGATATGTATATATTTATGCAATTATTACAATACTGGTTTCACTAATTTTCTTAACTCCAGGTTACTTGTCTCCTCTTATGGCA